GCACTGACGGCGGAGCGATGTTTGCGCTTGCGGGGGTGCGTGTGTACATGTGTATGTGTGCGTGTGCACTGACCGCGGAGCGATGCTTGAGCTTGCGGGGGTGCGTGTGTACATGTGTATGTGTGCGTGTGCACTGACCGCGGAGCGATGTTTGCGCTTGCGTGGGTGCGTGTGTATATGTGTATGTGTGCGTATGCACTGACCGCGGAGCGATGTTTGCGCTTGCGTGGGTGCGTGTGTATATGTGTATGTGTGCGTGTGCACTGACCGCGGAGCGATGCCTGCGCTTGCGGGGGTGCGTGTGTATATGTGTATGTGTGCGTGTGCACTGACCGCGGAGCGATGCTTGCGCTTGCGGGGGTGCGTGTGTATATGTGTAAGTGTGCATGTGCACTGACGGCGGAGCGATGTTTGCGCTTGCGGGGGTGCGTGTGTACATGTGTATGTGTGCGTGTGCACTGACCGCGGAGCGATGCCTGCGCTTGCGGGGGTGCGTGTGTATGTGTGCGTGTGCACTGACCGCGGAGCGATGTTTGCGCTTGCGTGGGTGCGTGTGTATATGTTTATGTGTGCGTGTGCACTGACCGCGGAGCGATGTTTGCGCTTGCGTGGGTGCGTGTGTATATGTGTATGTGTGCGTGTGCACTGACCGCGGAGCGATGTTTGCGCTTGCGTGGGTGCGTGTGTATATGTGTATGTGTGCGTGTGCACTGACCGCGGAGCGATGTTTGCGCTTGCGGGGGTGCGTGTGTATATGTGTATGTGTGCGTGTGCACTGACCACGGAGCAATGCTTGCGCTTGCAGGGGTGCGTGTGTATATGTGTAAGTGTGCGTGTGCACTGACCGCGGAGCGATGCTTGCGCTTGCGGGGGTGCGTGTGTATACGTGTAAGTGTGCATGTGCATGACGGCGGAGCAATGTTTGCGCTTGCGGGGGTGCGTGTGTATATGTGTATGTGTGCGTGTGCACTGACCGCGGAGCGATGCCTGCGCTTGCGGGGGTGCGTGTGTATATGTGTATGTGTGCGTGTGCACTGACCGCGGAGCGATTCTTGCGCTTGCGGGGGTGCGTGTGTATATGTGTATGTGTGCGTGTGCACTGACCGCGGAGCGATGCTTGCGCTTGCGGGGGTGCGTGTGTATACGTGTAAGTGTGCATGTGCATGACGGCGGAGCAATGTTTGCGCTTGCGGGGGTGCGTGTGTATATGTGTATGTGTGCGTGTGCACTGACCGCGGAGCGATGCCTGCGCTTGCAGTGGTGCGTGTGTATATGTGTATGTGTGCGTGTGCACTGACCGCGGAGCGATGCCTGCGCTTGCGGGGGTGCGTGTGTATATGTGTATGTGTGCGTGTGCACTGACCGCGGAGCGATGCCTGCGCTTGCGGGGGTGCGTGTGTATATGTGTATGTGTGCGTGTGCACTGACCGCGGAGCGATGCCTGCGCTTGCGGGGGTGCGTGTGTATATGTGTATGTGTGCGTGTGCACTGACCGCGGAGCGATGCTTGCGCTTGCGGGGGTACGTGTGTATATGTGTAAGTGTGCATGTGCATGACGGCGGAGCGATGTCTGCGCTTGCGGGGGTGCGTGTGTATATGTGTATGTGTGCGTGTGCACTGACCGCGGAGCGATGCTTGCGCTTGCGGGGGTGCGTGTGTATATGTGTAAGTGTGCATGTGCACTGACGGCGGAGCGATGTTTGCGCTTGCGGGGGTGCGTGTGTACATGTGTATGTGTGCGTGTGCACTGACCGCGGAGCGATGCTTGAGCTTGCGGGGGTGCGTGTGTACATGTGTATGTGTGCGTGTGCACTGACCGCGGAGCGATGTTTGCGCTTGCGTGGGAGCGTGTGTATATGTGTATGTGTGCGTGTGCACTGACCGCGGAGCGATGTTTGCGCTTGCGTGGGTGCGTGTGTATATGTGTATGTGTGCGTGTGCACTGACCGCGGAGCGATGCTTGCGCTTGCGTGGGTGCGTGTGTATATGTGTATGTGTGCGTGTGCACTGACCGCGGAGCGATGTTTGCGCTTGCGTGGGTGCGTGTGTATATGTGTATGTGTGCGTGTGCACTAACCGCGGAGCGATGTTTGCGCTTGCGTGGGTGCGTGTGTATATGTGTATGTGTGCGTGTGCACTGACCGCGGAGCGATGTTTGCGCTTGCGTGGGTGCGTGTGTATATGTGTATGTGTGCGTGTGCACTGACCGCGGAGCGATGTTTGCGCTTGCGGGGGTGCGTGTGTATATGTGTATGTGTGCGTGTGCACTGACCACGGAGCAATGCTTGCGCTTGCAGGGGTGCGTGTGTATATGTGTAAGTGTGCGTGTGCACTGACCGCGGAGCGATGCTTGCGCTTGCGGGGGTGCGTGTGTATACGTGTAAGTGTGCATGTGCATGACGGCGGAGCAATGTTTGCGCTTGCGGGGGTGCGTGTGTATATGTGTATGTGTGCGTGTGCACTGACCGCGGAGCGATGCCTGCGCTTGCGGGGGTGCGTGTGTATATGTGTATGTGTGCGTGTGCACTGACCGCGGAGCGATTCTTGCGCTTGCGGGGGTGCGTGTGTATATGTGTATGTGTGCGTGTGCACTGACCGCGGAGCGATGCTTGCGCTTGCGGGGGTGCGTGTGTATACGTGTAAGTGTGCATGTGCATGACGGCGGAGCAATGTTTGCGCTTGCGGGGGTGCGTGTGTATATGTGTATGTGTGCGTGTGCACTGACCGCGGAGCGATGTTTGCGCTTGCGTGGGTGCGTGTGTATATGTGTATGTGTGCGTGTGCACTAACCGCGGAGCGATGTTTGCGCTTGCGTGGGTGCGTGTGTATATGTGTATGTGTGCGTGTGCACTGACCGCGGAGCGATGTTTGCGCTTGCGTGGGTGCGTGTGTATATGTGTATGTGTGCGTGTGCACTGACCGCGGAGCGATGTTTGCGCTTGCGTGGGTGCGTGTGTATATGTGTATGTGTGCGTGTGCACTGACCGCGGAGCGATGTTTGCGCTTGCGTGGGTGCGTGTGTATATGTGTATGTGTGCGTGTGCACTGACCGCGGAGCGATGTTTGCGCTTGCGTGGGTGCGTGTGTATATGTGTATGTGTGCGTGTGCACTGACCGCGGAGCGATGTTTGCGCTTGCGTGGGTGCGTGTGTATATGTGTATGTGTGCGTGTGCACTGACCGCGGAGCGATGTTTGCGCTTGCGTGGGTGCGTGTGTATATGTGTATGTGTGCGTGTGCACTGACCGCGGAGCGATGTTTGCGCTTGCGTGGGTGCGTGTGTATATGTGTATGTGTGCGTGTGCACTGACCGCGGAGCGATGTTTGCGCTTGCGTGGGTGCGTGTGTATATGTGTATGTGTGCGTGTGCACTGACCGCGGAGCGATGCTTGCGCTTGCGTGGGTGCGTGTGTATATGTGTATGTGTGCGTGTGCACTGACCGCGGAGCGATGTTTGCGCTTGCGTGGGTGCGTGTGTATATGTGTATGTGTGCGTGTGCACTGACCGCGGAGCGATGTTTGCGCTTGCGTGGGTGCGTGTGTATATGTGTATGTGTGCGTGTGCACTGACCGCGGAGCGATGCTTGCGCTTGCGTGGGTGCGTGTGTATATGTGTATGTGTGCGTGTGCACTGACCGCGGAGCGATGCTTGCGCTTGCGTGGGTGCGTGTGTATATGTGTATGTGTGCGTGTGCACTGACCGCGGAGCGATGCTTGCGCTTGCGTGGGTGCGTGTGTATATGTGTATGTGTGCGTGTGCACTGACCGCGGAGCGATGCTTGCGCTTGCGTGGGTGCGTGTGTATATGTGTATGTGTGCGTGTGCACTGACCGCGGAGCGATGCTTGCGCTTGCGTGGGTGCGTGTGTATATGTGTATGTGTGCGTGTGCACTGACCGCGGAGCGATGCTTGCGCTTGCGTGGGTGCGTGTGTATATGTGTATGTGTGCGTGTGCACTGACCGCGGAGCGATGCTTGCGCTTGCGTGGGTGCGTGTGTATATGTGTATGTGTGCGTGTGCACTGACCGCGGAGCGATGCTTGCGCTTGCGTGGGTGCGTGTGTATATGTGTATGTGTGCGTGTGCACTGACCGCGGAGCGATGCTTGCGCTTGCGTGGGTGCGTGTGTATATGTGTATGTGTGCGTGTGCACTGACCGCGGAGCGATGCTTGCGCTTGCGTGGGTGCGTGTGTATATGTGTATGTGTGCGTGTGCACTGACCGCGGAGCGATGCTTGCGCTTGCGTGGGTGCGTGTGTATATGTGTATGTGTGCGTGTGCACTGACCGCGGAGCGATGCTTGCGCTTGCGTGGGTGCGTGTGTATATGTGTATGTGTGCGTGTGCACTGACCGCGGAGCGATGCTTGCGCTTGCGTGGGTGCGTGTGTATATGTGTATGTGTGCGTGTGCACTGACCGCGGAGCGATGCTTGCGCTTGCGTGGGTGCGTGTGTATATGTGTATGTGTGCGTGTGCACTGACCGCGGAGCGATGCTTGCGCTTGCGTGGGTGCGTGTGTATATGTGTATGTGTGCGTGTGCACTGACCGCGGAGCGATGCTTGCGCTTGCGTGGGTGCGTGTGTATATGTGTATGTGTGCGTGTGCACTGACCGCGGAGCGATGCTTGCGCTTGCGTGGGTGCGTGTGTATATGTGTATGTGTGCGTGTGCACTGACCGCGGAGCGATGCTTGCGCTTGCGTGGGTGCGTGTGTATATGTGTATGTGTGCGTGTGCACTGACCGCGGAGCGATGCTTGCGCTTGCGTGGGTGCGTGTGTATATGTGTATGTGTGCGTGTGCACTGACCGCGGAGCGATGCTTGCGCTTGCGTGGGTGCGTGTGTATATGTGTATGTGTGCGTGTGCACTGACCGCGGAGCGATGCTTGCGCTTGCGTGGGTGCGTGTGTATATGTGTATGTGTGCGTGTGCACTGACCGCGGAGCGATGCTTGCGCTTGCGTGGGTGCGTGTGTATATGTGTATGTGTGCGTGTGCACTGACCGCGGAGCGATGCTTGCGCTTGCGTGGGTGCGTGTGGTCGGCGCGCGCGTGCGACTGCACGTGGCGCACCCACGCGCCCGGCACCGTGAACACCTCCGCACACAGCTCGCACGCCAGCGGGCTGTACATCTGTAACCATGCATGCTCCCGTATTTACCCAAACTTTAATAGGACCTGTTTGAAACAGGTGTTGGCAGCAGCATCTTCCTGATGACAACTCAAAACAATTAAAAAAACTATGTTCGCCAACCCGCCTGCGAAGTGTAGTAATTATGGTAATATCCATCCTTTGAGGCAATCTATGGGAGAGGTCAATGTTTAGCAGTGGATTTTTATAGGCTGTAACGGTAATAGTTACTAGTTATTGCTAAACAACTAAAACCAGCTATTGGTTAAATTTCTGGTTGCTTAAGCGTGGAAGCTGTGTTGGAATCACAGCTAGAACTAACATTAAATAAAAGCAATCAACTTTAAGAGTTATATCATAATGCCACAAACATCTATCACTCATCCTATCCATTCATAATAGCTAACAGAATAAGTTAGGAGGAAGCCTACAATGCAGTGAAAGAGACATAGGATAGAAACAACAGAAATCCAAAAATCTCTTTAAAAAATCTGAATAATCAACCACCTAACCAAAATTAAATTTAAGTAATGGCCTACTATGTGTTTGTAGGCTTATTATGTGTTTTTGAACGGTTTGGACCTGGAAAGTTCAGTCTATAATGTAATAGTATAAATAATTTTTGTCCTAATACATCAAAATAACAATCTTACCAAACTTTCCTCTTCAATGTCCATTTCGTCAGCAGGCTCAGACTTGACAGTCATTTCAGCATGGAACATCTCTGCTATAGATGTCTCTTCCTCCTCTATACTACTTGCATCCCAATCCGGTTCATCCTTCACTTGCACTTCAGTAGTAACATCCGCAGTGCTATGGGATGATTTCTCTGTTGGAAAATCAAACAATGGAGAATAAATATTAGGATTTTAGTATGGTAATATTTAACTGTTATATATGAAGATATATAAATATAAAAGAAATGCTGTGTTTAATGTGTTTATTTGAGTTTTGTGGTTTTTTTTTAAGTGAAAAGAATAAACTTTTCAATAGTAATGAACATTAAATGGATCAAATTTATTGTCTTTAAAAAGTATTATAAAACTTACAGTTACATACTAGAACTTATATATAATTTTTTTTAGTTCACTCCTGTTGCACACACGACATGTAATTAGGTAATTCATGGGTGCTACTCAGTTTTATTAAAAATTCCTTTTCCGACTGTTTGATTTTTCAACAACTTTGGAAAATTTTAGATGGGAAGGGATATTAAAGCAGAAGTGATGAACTTAAACAAACATTCATTCATCAAATTCATCAACCTTTTCTTTATCCATGACATATTCAACTTACTTGATGTCTCGGACGCATTGTCCTGATTGTCTTCACTGTCTTTTGTTTCCTCACTCTCCGTGTTATTGTCAGTCTTTTGTCTCTTGCCATATTTTCGTTCAGCAGCATGTCGCCTAAGTATGCGTGGTGGGGGTGCTTCATCAGGTGAGTCATCAGAAATAGTAGTAGACGCCACACTAATTGTGGGTGTTGGAGTAGATGCAGTCACAGCAGTAGCCAAAGAAGTTTCAGCTTGTGGAGCTGGTGCAACAAGAATTGTTTGACCCTTAGCACCACCCGGCCGTAATGCTGCTGTAGTTCCACCTTCACTAGTCTTTATGAATACCAATTTGGGTGGTCCAATAAACATTGGCCTAGGAAAAAAAGTATTTAATATTATTTATAACATTCTATTGAATAATTCTAATGCTAATATAATATAAAATCCTAAATGAAATTTATATACTTAATTTATTTTGAAATTATATTAAACTAGCTGTTTTCCGTGACTTCACCCATGTGTAATTTATTACGACTGGATTTCATGGGTTTTAATTATTTTTGCACGGAACCCTAATTTTTTTTCTAAAACAAAAGTAGCCTAAGTTGTTTCTTATAACATCAGCTATCTGCCAGTGAAAGTGCCGTCAAAATCGGTCTAGCCCTTTTGGAGATTAGCCGGAACAAACAGACAGACAAAAATTTTAAAAATTGTGTTTTTGTTATAAGTGCATTTAGTAAAAAGCTGTTATTTTAACATTACAAACAGACACTTCAATTTTATTTATTTGTATAGATATAGATTAATTGAGAAAATTTTAAAATTAGTCATATCATTTTATTTCATACCAAACAGCACAATTCTTTTATATGACAGATCAGAATACTTGTAACTAATAAAAGAAACTAACCTTGTGACAGTTCCCTGTGTCTGCACAGGATTGAAGGCTTTGAGAAGCTTATCATCCTTCTTAATTGTTAATTTTTGTGTTAGTTCCTCTGGTTTCTTTGTCACTGTTGTTTGTTTGTTAATATTTGTAGCAGGGGCAAGCGTGGATGTTTTTTCTGCTGAGGCAGTGTCTCCTGACTCATCCGCTTGCCTCCACAGACCTCGGATCTTTAATACTTCTCCTGCTTTTAAAACTGTGTCTAAAACTTCATTTGAAACTGTTGTTTCACCTGTAAAAGAAAACTTTTTTACAGCATAGAAATTTGACATCTTAATAATAATTTATTAATAAAATAATAAAACTACACATGGAATAATTAATCAAATTAGAAAAAAGAATATTAAAAATAGTATCGGCGACAGGGCTAGGTCTTTTCTTGCTGAAAGGCACTTGGGAGTAGGACTGTATGATAATTTATGTTTTTAGTATAAGTTTTTTTTTTATTATTGTAATTTATGTTGTATGCTGAATTCTCTATTACTATGCAAGAACAAAATTAAATTTCAAAGAATAGGTATTTAAAGTTTTAGAAATACACAAGATTAAACAATTTGATTGTATTGTATTGATCTTGATATTGTATTTTTAATTAAAATTTCATGTAATATTTTGAATAATTACACAAACCTTTATACATATATTCTACAAGAATTTTCAGGGCCTTTGTTGATATTTCGGATGGGAGGACCACATACAACATTCCGCCCATTCGTGTTACAGAACGCTGACCCTCGAATAGACTGCTCAGGTACACACTGCATGAGCTCAGGATAAACTTGTGGGCGGGTATCTGAGATCCATCCATCGTGCACAGCACCACGTCTGTGAATCGTTCCGAGCGGAGCAATGCCGCAACGGAGCCATTTAAATGCGAACTGTGCGAGTGCCATTTCAATTGATAAGTATCCGTTGAAGTCATCTCGATTTCATATTGAGCTGTTACTCCATCTTCTACAACAATATAAACAAGCGTGAGAATAAGTGATAAACATGTCGTTAGTCACTTTAAATAAATAAACAAATATAATTCACTATTATTCACTATCATTATTGATAAATTTGCTTTCAATTCCGACTCGTTAAAAAAATTAAAGAACTTTTTAATTACTTCGTTCATGGTGTGATTCTTGAAATTTAGGATATTGTAAAATTACAGCACGGAATTTACAAAAGTATAAAAAGGCGGAAAGTTGAAACCAGAGTAGATATTTTACAGAAATATATTTTTAAGGAATAAGAATTAACTGTCAATAATATGTAGCTTCTCAATTGTTCAAATCAAAAATAAACAACGGAAATTATTTTTTTTAATAGATTCTGACTTTTTGCCATTGTTGATTTATTATTTTTTGGTAAATACCCAAAAATGTGATATCTTTTATAATGTTTTCTTTAAAATATATTAATAAAACATTTTTTTTTATTTATAAAATTATACTATTTAAGGATTTTTTAAATAAATGTTACCTTTTCATCGATAAAATCGATATTGCGAAGAATGATAATGCCGATTAATATTATCACATATACGTCGAAGATATTAATACTTATCTAAAAAATACAAATTATGGAAAATTTTAACGGTACACCAAACAAATACGCGCAACCACCGCGTGCGACCCTCGACTCTAGTGTGCGGCGGCTGCGGCTACAAAAATCGATAAAATTTGTATTGATTTAACTCCAAAAGCGGGGTTGCGCATTTATCTCATCGATCCAAGCCGGTGAGCGTCGGTCATGGTGGGTCGCGCTTGCGCCGTGCGCGAGGGGCGCGTCGAGCGTCGTTGCCGGCGCCCGCCCTGCCAGCCTGCCGCAATGCCACCCTGTTCACGCGCAAATTGCTTCTTTCCATGAACTCCAAACAACTATCTCCCCATAAATTTTCTATACAGCATTTATGTAGTATCTACTATTTCATTGCTTGCATGGCGATGATTGTTTTAGTGTCATCGTGAACTTAATCAAAATCCTTAAGTAAATAAAATTATAATCGAAAATTAATGAACAAAAATAAATTTTTAAGAAAAAGTAAAATCCGACTTCAAAGAATTTAAGCTTAGATAAAGATTATAGAAGAATCAAAGCCCGACTTCAGAACGTGAAATTATTATTATTTTTACCCTTTTGAGTGGAATAAGGAATATCACAATCTTAATTATTGATTATTTTTTTTTACTTATTATAACCTAGTAGGTACTTGACCGCAATCCCACCTGGTGGTAAGTGGTGATGCAGCACTAGAAGCCTATTCACTCTTGCCTTAAGACGCCCAGATTGTATTCGGAGGGAAAGATAGACACCGGCAAATTATTCCACTCCTTTACTGTACGCATTACAAAAGTCGAAGCAAACCGTGTGATTCTTATGCGTGGTATATCGACAACATAGGGATGAAGACGCGCCGACCGCCTGGTCGTCCGATGGTGGAAAGGAGAGGGAGGAATTAAAGCGTGTAATTCCTGCCCACACTCACCTAAATGCATCCTATAGAATACCGAGAAACTGGCTACTCTGCGCCTGTGCTCGAGGCTGACGAGATCGGTTTCAACCACATCAAGGTCACTAATGAGCCTCTTATCACGTCCGTCCACAGACTCCAACACTGCCAGATGGCATTTTGCAGCACCAGCCCATATGTGACAGCAGTATTCCATGCACGACCGGACTTGCACTATATATAAGGTAAGAAGCTGCCCCGGTGTGAAGTACCGCCGAACCCTTACAAGGACACCAAGTTTCCTTGCGGCTGCTTTGGCTCTGGACTCAATAAACCGTCCATAGTTGAGGTTCGGAGAAAATTCAACCCCTAACAAATGAAGGCTGTCAGTGTACTCCAAGGATACATTCCGGAAAGTAGTGTCCTTTTCTAGTCTAGTCTAGTCTAGTCCTTTTTAGCGGTAACGGTAGCGGTACGCTCCATAATCTTGCAGAGTATGGAGGTAATTGAAATTGGCCGATAGGTGGCAGGGTCGGTACGGCTATCTTTTTTAGGCAAAGGTTGCACATTGACCAGCTTCCAAGATTTGAGCACTATTCCAGCCCTGAATGAGAGGCGGAACAAGCGACACAGGAGATAACTCAGGTGCACAGACCATTAGAACTACAGCTGGTATACCATCAAATCCACTAGCTTTGTTCACGTCTAGACCTCGCAAGGTTTTAAGAACCACCTTGTTGGTGATAAGGACCTCTGACATAGAGGCAGGTATTATTTGTGAGGTAATTGAGATGGTACGCTGTTGCTACTGTCCAGACGCGAATTGCAAGCAAAAAGAGAAGCAAATAAGTCCGCTTTCTCCTTAGGTGCATGCGCCAGTGAGCCATCTGGTTTTACCAGTGGAAGCAGTGTACACCGACAAAAGTTTGTCGCGACCGCTTTGGCGAGAGACTAAAAAGCTCTACTGCCAGATGGTTTGACATAGAACTTCGTACCGATGCCTTTAATGCGGTCGAAACTGGCTTGCCGTAATACTTTTTTGCAGGAGTTGATGGCTTGATTAAAGGCTCTCTTCTTAAGGCTAACATCCGGAGCTTTTTGGTCTCGAGCATCGACCCAGGATAAGTACGCCATATGCTTGTGCTTTTCAGCAAGAGTACACTCGGTAATGAACCATGAGCGAGCTTTGCCACTAATTGGTACGTCAGCAAAGGGGATGAAATACAGTAAAAGCTCTTTATTCGCAAGGTATATGTTCCGTAGATATGCCGCGAATAAAGAAACCGTGGATATGGAATGGTAATTTATATGGGATTATAGGGGATACGTTCCTAGGTGACAAAACAAAACAAATACATATATAAAAAAATAATTTGAAATCGAACTGAAGTTTTTGACCATATTGATTAATTATGATCTTCAGGCTTAGGCAATGGTTTAAAGAATTTTGTAATTTCTTTCTTGCTTGGCAGTTTTTAAAAGCTCCTTCAAATCAGACTGATATTCAGCAGTGGCAATAGCAATTTGCCTCTTAAAAATAAGACTTCGTTCCATAGACGGATCAATTTTCATAAAGAAATCACAAAGCTCATTTGCCATTCTTAAACCTCCACAAAGGCTTTTCAAATTGAATGTCACGTTTCCAGTGCTTGTTGAAGCCTCTTCTTCAATGGGCTGTGAATATAACATTTCCACCAAGTCGATTTCAGTCAAATCTTCATCTTGCGATTCAAGCAACTCTTGAATGTCACTTGATTCTATCTGTTCGAACCCATGTTGTCCTATTCCATTCGCTATTTCGGCTATGTTTGCAGTCAGTTTGAATTTGCACAGATTCTTCGTCATTTTCCGCAGGCAAAGCAGGCCACAGCTTTTTTCAGCATGATTACAATGTGTATGGCTTCAGTTCTTCCAATGATTATTTTATGTTTTAGATGCATTTTGCTATGTTAATTTTTTTTCAGCATTCCATAACATTCCATATCATCGGGATCACATTCCATATTATCCAATATGATTTTGAACGTTGCTCTAATGTGATAGAGCTTAAAGGCCTCGATGGCCTGGATTATTCCTTGGTCCAAAGCCGTCGTGTTGGGAGGTAAAAATGTGACTTTTATATTTGGATGGCTTCCGATACTTGAAATCCTCCATCTGTACATTCACCACCACAACTACCACCAGGTTCTTTAAAATGTGCGTAAAGACGCTTTGCCTTCTCCCGGATCATTGTACCACTTAGGGCCACCCTTTTTTGGTTGCGGTATTCGATCCATAATGACAACGCCACTTCCATTTTTTCTATTGCTGGATCACGAACAATTTTCGCTGACAGTGAAGTTGAAGCTAAAGACGACTTTATTTTATATTCGGATTTTTTTATCAATCGTGATATAATAATAATAATAAATAATAATAAAGGTTTATTCATAAACACGGTCTTACAAATATATATACCATGGTAGACTTCTATTGAACGCATAATGCGCCCGTATCAGAAGTAAGCCCCTCTTCGATATCATACAATTTATTAAAGCAATAACCGCTTGTACTAAATTTAAAGAAATTAAAAATAGTGTAGTGTTTGTGTGTGTAGTGAATGTGTAGTGTGTGTGTAATATGTGTGTACCTAGTGTATGTGCGTGTAATGTGTTGTATGAAAGTTTTCATACTTTTCCCTCTGCACAGCCCTACGACATAAAAAGTCTTGGGATCAGCGTTAAGCCACTGATCAGAGTTGGTAGTTACATATACAACTACATGGAGGTTATGTGTGTATATATGTAATGAATGAGTGATTTACACATAAATATCCTCATATCAAAATTCTAATTTTAACAGGTTTTTAACTTCAATAAATTGTAATGTCTTCAGCCATTCAGTGAGTTTTAGTTTACAGTTTCTATAAGTCATAGGATATATATCTAGTATTTTATTTATTTTATTATATAAATGAGACGAGATGTTTTTGCACTGATTGCGAGCGAATTTAGTCTTGATATAGATGCAAACGACTCTTCAAGGCGTAAATGATCAAGCATTTCTATTTTTACTTTAAGCGGTAACACAGATTTTTTTCGCGTCGACGCGTTTTCATTTTTTTTTTTTGAGAACATTATAAATTAGGAAGACAGAGGTAGAGACGTGTTACTCGATCACAATTTTTGTAACGAATGGAAAGATGAAACAATAAAATAAAACACGCAAAGCTGCTCTTAACAAAGGGCGTAACGTCTAATATGTGGCAGCATTTAAAATTATACTTTATGTATTGAGTAATAAGGTTGCTTTCATTCTGTTTGTTTACATTCTCAAAAACACCGACCGCGGCGAAGGCGGCTTATGTCAAAGGCCGAACCAATACAGCGGCGATATCATTTAACAACATACTTTAGGCACAGTCGTAATAAGGTCTATTTTATTTTTTTATTAGTCCATTTGACGACGCGTTTACAAAGGATATTGGATTGGATACCCTTTGG